GTGTGTGTGTGTGTGTGTGTGTGTGTGTGTGTGTGTGTGTGTGTGTGTGTGTGTGTGTGTGTGTGTGTGTGTGTGTGTGTGTGTGTGCGCGTGCGTGTGCGTGTGTGTGTTTTTTTGTTTGCATTTGTCTGTCTGCCTCATTCACCTGTTTGTTTTTGCGTCCCACACATTTTCTTTGCTGTCAGTCGAAAACCTGAACCGTGTTCTTTACGCGTGTGTATAAATATACTCTTTCGACCCGTAACTGCAGCGCCCGTCTCCTTTCCTCTCGGCGAGCATTGCCATCCAACCTGCGCCGATCACCCGATCCGCGTACGAAAATCTACCCCGCACACATACACAACGTCGGCGGCGGGTTTGTTTGCTCCGGTGTAGCGCAAAACATGGCGAAGGCAACTGTAGAATATAACCTAATAATAACGCCACCCGTCTGTCAGGAATAGAACTGCGGCTGGAGGCTTCCTGCACGCAAGCAGTGGCGGCGGCTTCGTCATACTGATCTTCTCCGTAACCAGGTTATGCGTATGAGCGCAGCGCTCACGAATTTTCTGTTCTGGCTGTCAGCATCAATATACGACATCGTAAACATCGCGGCTTCTGCTGCATATTCGTGTAGATATATATCTATATCTATATATATATATAAGCGCGTTGGATCTCCGTATTTCCATAACGTGAGCGTTAGATGGCGGCGCAGCGTTGAGGAAAGGCATTGGCAACGAACGATTACAGCTGCATGATGGGTCTGCCGTGGCGAGCACAGAGTGGATACCGCGCGCCGATGGGCCGTCGATAGATCGATATCGGATGTGTGCTATAGATATCAGCCGACATGTTGTTTGCTATAGGATTACTGATCGCGCATCTGAGTGCTCTGCCGACAAGGTATATAGATCTTGGCGCGCCGATACTTCGTCGCAGAAGCGATGCGCTTTGATGGACGCGTGCGGGTGTCCGACACCGGGGCGACATCGTCGCTGCGGTCTCACCACCCCACCCCAGCACATCTCACAGAGTGTACAACGGCGCGCTGTAAAATAGTCAGGCATAAACGATTCGTGCTATCACGCTAGCAGGAACTGCTATAGCCGCGATGGTTTGCAAACGTGAAACTAGTGATGCTGAAAATAATCGGACTAAGATATTTGCTTTGTTCTGCGAACCCCAGATGACAAAGTGCTAATTAAGCTGTCCGTCACCGGAACACGGAAACCTTTCAGTCGTATATTTAATTAAAATCTCTAATGGGTAGTGCCTGTATAAGCATCATTTGGTGATTTTGTTTTTACTTTGATGATAATAGAGTCGTTTAACAATTAGCATCACATGTCATGTGCGATTCAATGCTTGTTATGAGACAAATTAGTTAAACCTATACAAACATGAAACGAAAATCGATTTTGATATTCATAGATTTTGTTTCTACAATCGCAGCCTCGCAGTGATAAATCTAACAGCTGACATGTTAGATCAAGAAATACTGGATTCGTTGTTAGGGCCTGATGCTAAATACGATCAACGAGTAAGCCCCATGCCTAACCGGAGTAAGTATAGGTTAGCGCAAGCCGCATTGAACATCATTCTCACAAACTGTACTGTCAACTAAATCTGTTCATTGAGAGAGTATGAGAGCCTGAGGCCGGTTGTCAGAAACAAAATTACTCTTAACATTTATTTTAACATTCACTTTTGTTCTTTTTTCTCGCAGGACTGACCGCTATAGACTGCTTATGAGAAACTCGTAACTTTACCATGTGTCTGTCAACAGAAAGAGTCTTTGAGAAAAAGTAAACGTTAAGACTAATGTTAAGAGAAGTTTTGATTCTGACGATGGACCGCTGGGTGTATTTTGAGATGATTTTGGTATCACACGTTAAAGTATAGATGTGCATTATATCAACGGAACAAGAATGGATCGAGCCTATTATTTTACATTGGGAAAAGGCCGAGTTAAGCCATTCATTCGTTAGCAACATGTGTTGCAAAATAAGATGCTATCTCGAAATTTGATATCGGAGAAGCTCTGGCTTATGTATATATAAAATGGGCAATTAAACGAAAGTAAGTGTGGTTTTAAACTGTATCATATTTTTGACGGCTGTTAACATGTGCAGCTACTCCAAGTCCGACTTTCTTGTGCAATCTGTGCTGACTCATAGCGTTTACACGGGCCGGCGGCATCTAACCGTTGCTTGACCTTTGCAGACGAACCGGTGATCGTGACGGTCGACTTATACATCCTAGCATTATCATCGGTTGACGTCATCCGCATGGTAAACAAAGTGGACGCAATTTTTCCAATTTTCATCGGAATATTTTAATATCTATTCATTTCACGCCTTTATATTCACATCCGTGTTGTCTCACACATTGTATTCAGGTACAGGTTTCGCGCGCAGGAGGGATATTGAAAGCAAATGTGGGATGTACGCATTTATTAATGCTAAAATAATACCGCGCAGTCGTGATTTTGTTAACTTTTTTGACATTTTGATTTTTGTGTGTGCTAACATCTGTAAAGATAATAATAATAGGCACTCACACACACACACACACACACACACTCACACACACACACACACACACACACACACACACACACAC